TATAGAGAAGTCTTTTGAGGTTAGAAGGAGCCGTGTTGAAATTACGCCGAATATGACCAAGAGAGCGATTAGCTGAGAATATGATCTTATTAACATGATTATTCCAGGATAAATTATTAGTTAAATAAACACCAAGATATTTATATTCGGTAGTGGCCTGGAGCACGGTGTCATTTAGTGTTAATGCTGTTACGTGGGGGGAGGACGAGCGCGTGAAACATACATGCATGTATTTATTAATATTTAGGGACATTTGCCAAGTACGGCACCAGTCGGCAATTTCGTTAATGTCGTTTTGGAGGAGGAGATGGTCGTCGGGAGATTTTATTAGTCTATAGATAACGCAATCATCTGCGAAAAGGCGAATTGAAGAAGAAAGTTGAGGTGGGAGGTCATTAATATAGATTAGAAAGAGTAACGGGCCAAGTACAGAGCCTTGCGGCACGCCGGAGGAGACTGGAGCTAAGGAGGAAGGCGAGTCGTTGGCGAAAACAAATTGAGAACGGTAGCTAAGAAAAGATTCGATCCATTTTAGAACGAGAGGATCTAATTTTAAGGAAGAGAGTTTGAACAGAAGGGCGATTGTGAGGAACCTTGTCAAAGGCCTTGGCGAAATCAAGTAAGACAGCATTAATAGGAAAGCAGGAGTCGAGATTTTGAAAAAGGTCGTTAGTAAGAAACAGCAGCTGGGTCTCACATGAAAGTTGCTTGTGGAAGCCGCGCTGTGCGTAGGTGAAGTAATTGCAGGAATCCAGGAAACTGATAAGATGCTTGTAAATGATGTGCTCGAGAATTTTGCAGGAAATGCAGGTAAGTGAGATTGGTCTGTAGTTGAGTGGAGACGCCTTACTTCCAGATTTGTGGACCGGAATGACCTTTCCAATTTTCCAATCGGAGGGTACCACACCAGTCTCCGGAGACTGCCGAAAAATTTTAGTAAGGAAAAGCGCTGCTGAGATTTTCGTGTTGGTTAGAAGTTTGCTGTTGATATCATCTATACCACATGAAGAGGACATTTTAAGGGATTCTATAATGCTTACTATACCGTCAAAGTCTACGAAAATAGGATCCATAGGGAAAACATTTGTTATTGGAACGAGAGGGGTCTGAACGATGGGTGTAGGTACAGTGAAAGCAGCGGAAAATACAGTGTTAAGAATATTGGCACATTCACTATTCAATATTTCATCACCAGAACTAATCACAAGGTTAATGTTTCGAGATGGTTTACCATTAACAATGCTCCAAAACTGACGAGGGTTATTTTGTAACATAGATGGTAGGGTGTGGTGTAAGAATGTGTGCTTACGCTCACGCAACAAACACTTGTACTCAGACGAGCAAGCGGCATGCTTAAGCCAGGCCTCCGGTGTATTTAGTCGTTTAGGATTTCTAAACAGTCTTTTCTTTTTTCTATTTGAAAGTCGGCGAAGGAACTTAGTAAACCATGGCTTAGATGCATTCGATCGGACGTTTGTACATGGCACATAACGTTCGACAAGCTCGAGTAATTTGGCTTTATAGAAATTCCAGCTTTCATTGGCGTTGTAGTTGTCAAAGTTCTCGTTAAAAGAGACGAAGAAATCCGAGAGCTGGCGATTAATCATGTCAAAAATGCCCCTGTGATACAAACGAATCTTTTTATGAAAAAACACTGACTTCTGTGGCTTAATATCAATAAAACAGTGTAGCGCTTTGTGGTCACTAATGCCATCTATAGGAGACAATAACTTAACTAGATGAGGATCAGCAGTAAGGATTAAATCAAGCACATTTGAACTGCTGTCGGTGACTCGTGTAGGAAAAGATACTACTTGGGAGAGATTAAAGGAAAGGCACAAGTCAATAAAATCTCGGCTTACATTTGTTTCGCCAGAGCTGGCTGGCGTCAGCGTATTCCATTCAATACCCGGAACGTTAAAATCACCAAAAAGAAAAGTAGTTTTATTATGTGCTGCCAAAGAAGACAAATCATCACGAAGGCAATCACAAAAGTCACGTGAAGCGTTGGGTGGACGGTAGCAAACACCGAGCAAAATAGAGCCGTAGCAACATTTTATGGAAACCCAAACTATCTCAAGGGCATTTTAAATCGACACGATATGACATGGAATAGTTTTGTTAATAGCGATAAGAACCCCTCCCTCTCGTCGACCCGCTCTGTCACACCGGTTGATGTTGAAGTGAGGATGATCCGGTAATATTTCATTATCATCAATGCCAGGATTAAGCCACGTTTCTCACAGCAAGACAACATCAGCATCACATGAACTTATCAGTGAAGACAAATCATCACGCTTAGGTAATACGCTGCGTGCGTTTGCGTAAAGAACACTTATGGCGCTCTGCGATTTAGCCGCATCAGTAGAAACGCTCCCCACGTTCCCCTATCTCATGAGCTTTATAATACTGTCTGACTGGGCATCGTGTATGAAAGTCTTGGGGCCAGTGAGAAGTTTGTTTAGTCGAAGTTTAAAAGGCAAAGATTGACGTTTAGCAAAAGTGACGAGGTTATGTCGTGCAACGCGAGTATTTTCGCAGAAGTCTTCCGATAGTGGAAACGAGCTACCCTTCAGCCGAAAACTGCTTTGTAGTATTTCACTTTTGGTTTTAAATGACGCAAGACAAATTATGATTGGTCGGTTTTTTCCTTCTTGAAAGTTGCCAATTCTATGAGCACGTTTCGATATCAGAACTCGCTAAAGATATGCCAAACTTTTCTTCTGTGAATTCAAGATCTTTATGGTCCGACGATGACCATGACTCACCGCGCGTGTCGGGAATACCTCGGAAAAGCAAGTTGCAACGACGGGAACGATTTTCTAGATCGTCACTCCGAGTGAGGAGCGAGGCTCGGAGTGACGGTCGGCGGAACATTGAACTTTGCCACTGTGTCACAACAACTATTGAATGCGATCACTCAAATACACACTTCCTCCTATATTGAAACCTAATAAAAATGACATTGATATTATTTCTACTGCAATTCAAGAATTACGAACTGAACTAATCTGGGATGAAAACGGATGAACCGATTTATGAAACCTGTTTGATTTTTTGCTTTGCTATGTCGGTTTTCTTAATGTTTTACGCGGTTGCTTTGACTTCTGTACATGCCACTATAAGGAAGCAAGGGGCTCCGTCTAGCTTTTTTCTCTTGCTTCCTTATATAATGTATCAAAATGGAAAATAAACTTCTTTTCGCTACAATTGTTTCTGCTCAAGCGCGTCTTTCAAATATGCGTTCTATGCGCTCGCGCTCGCGCCAAGAGGACAGTGCAGAATTGCCGTTTTCGGGCCCGTGCCTTCACCTACAGCGAACGCGAAATACGTATGCTAAATTATCTACAGCCTGGTTCAGACAGTTACGTTTGACTGCGTTGCGGCAGCGAGAAACCAGGACATCCCTGCTGCCTATATCGCGTGCCAAGACGATTCCTTGAATTGGATTCCACGCTTCATATAAAGCACATATGTGCCGGTGAGTCGCTTTCGGGTCTCGACGCAACGCTGTCAAACGCATTCAAACGGAAGTGTCTGAACCGGCCTCAAGAGTCAAAGAACGCCGAGAACATAGTTCTCTGCATTGCACCTGCTGGCTTCTGCAACAGTACTTTTTCTAAAAAAAAAAATCTAAATAAATAGCCCGTCTGTGTTTGCCAACGCCTTATTTTTGGAAATTTACTTGGAATCTTTTATATAGGTAAAAGGAACGCTTGCCGAAATGCCTGAAATCCTAGTGCCATTCAAAGCACTCCACCTTGGACGACACACACTTGTTCGAAGCATTTTTTGTCGAGTATGCTCGATGAAATGCGCCAAATGAGCCAGTGAAGGCGAATCATATATCCCAAGGCAGAGAAATACTGAGATATAGGGGCATGATCCCAGATATCTGTGTACGTTCTCCCTGCCCGGCCTCAGTCATGGTGTTCAATGCTCCATACTTCACTGCACTTAAAAGCAAGAAAATTGGGTATGGCAGGTGTGCAAGTTTGGCGGAATCGAGGAGGCCATTTGCAACTGATCTGCACGCAGAACTGACCAATCACACCTTTAATGAGAGCACGCTCTTTGCTGAACCACACAATAAAAGGCGACAAGAGTATCTCGTCCGGCGAACATTCCAGTCAACTCATGCCTGTGCGTAGCGTCCTGTGCTTTTCTAGAGATTTGATTAAACTCCTCGAGCACGACGCCAGCTGCCAGCTGTTTTCTAGCAGTACATGGTGAAACTCGCGACGGAACCAAAAAGGACAACCGCGATACTTTTTATCTGCCTCGGGTTTTAGTAGGTGCCTACCAAGGTTGCCTGTACTCTTTGGCAATGTTTGTTTGGTGCCAGTTTTGGCGAACTGAGCCACACACCTGTTTCGACCGGTTCAAATTTGAATAAATGGTAACCAACGCACAAAGAAAAGAAGTTTCAAGTACTTTTTGAGATTTTTGAAGTGACTTTTACTATTGCACGACTGCATGCACTTGAATGTTCAATTCAAGATTTTATAAAACGTGACTACCCCATGCTCGTCACCTGCCAACAGGGTGGCAACGTCAATGGCTCGTGCCCGGTGGGTAGTTAAGTAAGCCTGTGGGGTAGTTACAGCTGTCAAAACTCATGATGACTAGGTGAGGTGCTCAATTTTTCTTAGAGTGCACGTCAGGGCTGAGGGTTCATTTTCAATGGGGCTTTCACAGCTTTTTTAAACAAATCTTCAAAAGACATCTTGTATATTCCGCATCATAGCAACTATGACCAACATTCCAGAAAACCAAAGAAAACTATTCGCTTCAAAATTTATAGAAATTAACTAGAAAAAAATTTAAAATTCTTATGTTTATTGACGCGGTGTTTTCCAATGTTAAGTTTTTTTTATTATTTGTAAATTAAGTTTATTCCTTAGCCCTACTTTTTCTTAATAGGTCAAACAATGTTAATCTTTTTATTGCGACACGGCACACAAAATAATTGCAAGTTTGACAAGTTTTATGAGATGAAATTAGATTAATGTAAGTGGGTGTTGAAGGGATTTTATAATTGTTTTAGCTTTTAGCATGGGCTTCCGTATTTTTTTAAGTGAGGATTCCACAGCGTCTTTGAATATTCCGTGCTCAATCAGGTTCTCAAATATTGTTTGCAGACTGACTTTTAAACTAGATGGTGACTTTGCCTTCAGACAATAGGCAGCTGGAGGCGGATTTACCGGTTCTCCATCAGAATTCATTATTTTGTATTGCTTTTTCTTCCAGATAAACCGCTGAAATAACAAATTACTTTTATCTGGAAGGAGTAAAATTATAATAAATGATTATTTTGATGACCATCTACTTTTTACATAATCAGATTTTGTGAGTGTTTAAATTTACCCTAGAATGAAATGTTGATTTTTTGTTGAACATGTCATTCTAGGGCAAATTCTAGGGTAAAAATGTATCAATTCTACAGTTTCAGATAGGGACAGTCGAACAGCAAGACACACTATCCCCAGATAACCCTCGATCAAAACCTTATGTTAAGGACGCCTGAATGACGGTTTTTAAAAGTTTGCGTCTTAAGCGGTGAGTTGTTTGAATGAGGCAAAAAGCAATCTAATCTTCTAGAACGGTAAACATTCATTGTTTTCTGTTTATCAAACACCTTTACGACGAAAAAGAAAGAAAATTATTAATTACAGTTTCAGATCCTTACGAACAGCTGTTTTAATCGCTATGTATAAAAAAGTTACGATGCGTTTTACATAAATATTTCTTGGTATTGTTGTGTGTTATCGGACAGTTAATAAAAATAATTGATAACGGTTGTTGTCCTTTAGTCTCACGTGTTTTTGTTGAGGGTTAGAAATAAAACCTAGTATAAAAAAAGAGTTCGGAAAAGCCGTCTTGTAGGCTGGCGTGTGTGTACGAAAAAAATTGTCAGTAGGTCTCGTGATGCCACGCCAAGTGACATCAATTTTCCCACCAAATATAAGGGTGAAACTGAATTCTTGCATAGGTCACATGGCGTTAATTTTCCCGCTAAAAGTGGGGAATCTAAATTTGTCTGTAGTTCCCGTGACGTCAAGACACGTGACATAAATTTTCCCACCAAATTTAGAGAGGAAACTGAATTTGTTTACGCTCACATTGTCGGAAAACCGGGGTGGGGAGGGGGAGGGGGGGGGGGGGGGGGGGCAAGCCCGTGACAGTTATGGCTCTAAAAATTTTCTTTGCGCAGATTGCAGAGCTATGTGGCAATTTCCCCATATTTAGACTTCAGTGTCCAGCAATATTTTCTCGTTTTTTTTTTGGTGGATTTTTAGGTGATGCTTTATTTGTGTCATTTAGGGTAGCAAAAGCAGCGAAATTCTCGAGTATAAATGCTGCTGCACCAGCTGTGTCCTGTACGTTATATATTTCTTTAAAGTATACAATAATTGTTTTGAATGTCATTTAAAGCAAAACATTCTATAGTCCGTTGAACTCAATAAGGTAGGGCGAGGAAAAGAGAGGCCGGGGAGGAGGAAGCAGACGGAGCGCTGGAGAGAGGAGGAGGTTTCCCCCTTCTCCAGCGTTCCATATGCTTCCGCCTCCCCGGCCTGTGTTTCCCTCCGCCCTACCTTCTTGAGTTGCGACGGACTATAGACTCTTCTAATTTAGTAAATATTAATCTCTTAGGAAAAAACTAGAAACGAGGGGACATGCAGGAAGACAAGATACGGAAGGATGAAATCAATGATTAGTACAAATGAAAACGAATAGAATGCACCCACCTTGTTGAAAAACTAGCGTTCCGGTGATTGTGACGTGCACCACATATACAGTTACTTCATTGGCCAACAGTGGCAGCTGTATTTTTAGGTCATCAAACTTGACGGGACAATGGAGGTGGTTCTTCTTATGGTAAATCCACTTTTCGCAGTTTCCATTGCGCCAAAACTTAAAACTCAGACCGAAAATGCGCATCAAGCGATCCTCGCCAAGGTTAATGCTGCGGCCACTCACGGACACAAGGTGGTCAGGCAGTAGGACATGGTACATGCTTACGTTCAATCGTTCGTGTAGTTCCTGTTGGACCATTGTAACAAAATTGTTCATAAAAGTATCGTAGTCTATCATGCCTCCACGGCGTTGTGCTCCTGAGACAAAAACAATAGACTGAGTAAGCGGCTGCTGAACTTTTAAAACAATGCATGCATGTTTTAAGTGTGTTCTTAAAAAATGCGCGGTCATAATTTAAGGACACGTTCAAGTGCGGTTGGTGTAGATTAAAAAAATATTAACAGTTACAAACTTTTCTAGAAATAGCTTTGGGGCCGCCGTCATTTTGCGTCTCTCGCGATCCCTATTAGCCAGAAATTTTTGTTACACTCCTGGGCTGTGGAGTTCCGATCAGCGTGACTCTCCACCTGCGTTGGGCGTTCGGAGTTCGCCGGCCTTTCTTTAAAGTGCTTACTTTATTTGCCTATTCAGGATGCTTATACTTTTTGTGATATCTTCAACTATGAGAACCAGCGAATATACCAGTGCTCGCTGCCTGCTCGGCCTTTGCGGGAAACAAAAGAAGTAAGAGAACGTCGAACAGCCCGCTACCAGTGCAGTTCCACGTTCTCCAAGGATCATCTCCGCTGACATAATCTCCGGAAAGCCTTCTCGGCTATCTTCGCGAAAAATAACTGATCAGGTGCGGGGTAAGGGACGGAGCAAACAAACAACCGTTGTTTTGCTTTGGTACTGTGCAAAAACAAGCTCTGTTCAAAACGTGCCTTAAAACAAGTCCGGATTTCGTCTGACCGTCGTCAACACCGTAGACTGGATAGGCTGTGTTATTTGATAGCTTTTTGAAATGAACGCTGTTTTGATAGCGCGGCACATTGGGTTCTGCACAATATGTTCGACTGATGAGTCTTGTTGAATTTCATGTTGTGAGCGGGGAGTATGGACATGCCTTTAGACTGTGTTGTGCGTTCAAATATATTCGACAGTTAGAGCATTAGTAGACCGAGATGGTTGAGTGCTTGATGGCGTGAAAAACCTGCGTAAAATGAACAAACATTGTAGTTGCCTTCCCTCTGTCGCGCACGGTCTCACGAAGAATATATTTCATTTGCTATATTCTGTTGCCAAAAATAGTACAATGTTTTATCAAAACCGTCGAAACATTCTATTTAGCATAAAACACAAAAACAATAAAATTAAGCAATTTAGCTGACACCAATGTCCGCAATCGCTCGTACGCAGGCTGCCACAGCCAACAGACAAGAAAACGCACAGCCCAGTGCAGTTCTGCAACACTGGCGTACACTCTCAAGACCAGTGACGCGCCTTGTAAAACCCCTTGTTCGAGACTGTCGCTGGAAAGGTGTATAGGATAAAGTTTGAAATTGGCTCCTACGTATGTGTTAGGAAAACAAATCATATACAATATGAAGCAGTTTCATGATAGGTAGAGCATTTCAAATGCGCATGAGAGATTTCACAGCATTACAATTTCTGGCATTCGTTTTTAGGACGCTTCTTGGGCGAGAGACGTAAACCCGAGTGCGTCAATAAAATCACGCCACAGGGTTGCCGCTCGCTAGTGCACGAAGCCAGCATCGAAGCGTCAACTCTTGCAAAGTTGTGCATTCTTTGGATGCGTTGCACACATGACGGACTCATATGCTCACCGGTTTATCAGAATGATCAACACAAGCTTAAATTTATTCAAGAGTGAAGTGTAAGGAGCATGCTTTAACGAGAAGTTTTCGCGGGTTCTGCAAATACTTTAGGATTTGTTTTTTCCGAGGGTGCGTCGACACCCACTATAATATTCGTTGGTATGCTATGACCTGCCCCGTGACATTGTGGGAATACGAACGGAGCAATGCTTCGTCATTTGGGAGCCAGCTGCGCGCGCCGACGGTTACCTGCTTATTCAGGCTCCCGTAAGTGATGTTGGGTCGTGCTCTTGGCGCTCTCATTCATCTCCTCGTGGTGCAGACTAAGGGCGCCACGAATGAATGTATCGGGCTGCGATTCACATGGTTCTGGGTTCAAGACCCACTGAGCCGCCGAATAAATTTTGCGTTCTACAATTAATTACGTCTAAATATGCATATGCATAACTAATTATTACTCATAATATTTGTTTATGGTTATGCATTGACCTGGTGTTGGCTAAGTCTGCATAATGTTGGCTTGTGTGCAAAGCCTTTTGGTCTCACTTGTGCGTAACTCTTTTCGCGTGAAATACCGGTCGACAGAGTGCGCTGACGCACACGCCGGCATTATTTTGCTTCAACTTGGTTGGTTTCAGTTTCAACGTGCACGAGGCTATGTTTCTGTATTATGTCGATTTCGCTTTATTTTGTGATACAAATATGTACCGCGTGGCCCACAACCGATGAAGCAGAGAGTGGCACTGATCCACTTTTGGAACCACGAAGTGGTTTTTGCCTCAATTGTGGCCATTTTTACGAACACTTTTCATGCATCTGATTACGTTCATCGTTAATTTCGGCTAGGTTCGGCGACGAAGCGGCTGAACTATACTCCGTTCATTCCTAAGCTGCGATTGCAGTGGAAGATACGCCCTTGTTGGACCAGTCATGCGCCTCTCCTTTGCCACGTCATCACGCTTCCGGTCATACCCACGCGCGAAGAGCCGGGTCAGGTGATAAGAGGGAGGCGGCTGATGGATCCAGCGGTCACGTAGCTCCCGCCGTAGTTTCAGCTTAAAGGTGAACGGAATATGGTTGTTCGTTTTCGGGTTTTATATATTTTTTTTTTACTTCGGGGGGTAAAAATCGGGTGCTATTTTTCAAGGTGATAATCGGGGAGAAATTGTTTTTTTTGTAGAAGCATTCCGAAATTAGGGTTTTTTCCGGTTAAATTTACAAATCTGCATACATTCGTTTTTTCTTGTTTTTTTTTTATCGGATGGTAATACGAGCTCCTTAACGCCAACGCGTTAAAATTAGGGATCTGTTTGAATCTGGTGATCGGAGGAACATAAGGGTTTTCTAGCAAATAATAAAAAATTCGGTGTTTCTATGGAAATCAAAAAGCAATAATTACAGTAAAGAGCAATGGTAACTTCTAGGAAATGAAACATTTTATTCACAAAAAGCTGGTCATCGATTTTTTACACATCCTTGTTAACATACATTATTATCTGCACGCACAACATGTCGGTCTCCATTTGAGACCTGTCCGATCTTTGAACTTATCTCAGCTGAGAGAACGTTCTCTCGACATCACAGCTTCCATTAGCTAGGCACAACAATGTCAGTGCAGCATTTGCCAGCCTGGAGTAGCGAGCGGTAGAGTCATGCCAATACTCAATGAGTTCGACAACTGTGTTAGTGGGGCTTGCTTCCAGCAAGTACTGGTTAAACTCGTCTTCAAGCGAACCTACGTCGTTGGTCACGGAAATGAAGAGGTCAATAGTCATGAAATGACTGCCTCAGCAGACGCTTCTGGAATGGATCCAAGACGGCTCCCAATTTCCATACGTTAGCTGCAGTGGTTTTCATATTTGTCTGAAACGTTTCGTTTAACAGTGCAGTACCATTTTGTTGCAAGTTTCGTGCAAAACTCTTCAGAACGTGTTTTAACTAGCGTGGCGCTGCTCTTTGGTAACATACACAAAACAGCTCTTGCCTCATCGCTTTGACCGATCGTCGTTGAAAGCTCGCTGACAGTCTGCTGCAGCTTGACGTTTATGAGGTGATCAAAGCTGGGCATAAGAAGTTTCCCGCTCTCAAGCGTTTTCTGGGCGTCTATAAGAGGACCGAGTGTGTCTCTCATCAGGATTGCCTTCGCATAAACAACTTCTTTTCAGAAAGTATCACTCGAATAGCTTCTGCTTTGCTGTTATCGTGCGAGCTTTCAGCAAGTTCCGTTAACGAGCTCCACAGTTTTATGACAACAACAAGCGCTTTGTAGAAGCTTTACCATCTATTCGGGACAACAGAAGGTGGCTTCTTTACATCAGATCCAAAGAGGCCGTTAGAAGCACAAATTTCGGTGTACTTTTGGCAGAGCTTGTTAGCGTGCTTAAATAACGCGCTAAACTTGATCACTGCAGATCGAACATCAGACACGCATGGAGAAGAAATGGCGTGGTCAACACTGACATGAATCAGATGAGCTAAGTATTTCAGATGCAAGATACGAATCGCTTCAGCTTGACAGATTTCTCTTACCATTTTTCGCATGTACTCCGCTGAGTCTGTGGCTACAGCCACAACGTCCTTCCACGTTTTGCCTACACCGAGGAGAGCCTTGCTGACTACCTTGGCCACCGCGTAGCTGTTCGAAGCATTTACTCTGTCGACGTCGACCAAAACAACCCGCTTCTTCATGGTTTTTTGGCTGTAGTAGCACAGGAGAGTGCTGATGGTAGGCACTCCAGTGATATCCGGGGATTCGTCGACGATGACGCTCACTTTCACAGCTCGCATATCATCGCAGATTTTCACCATGTCCTTGTCGAAAGCTTCTTTCAAGTATTTCAACCGAAGTCTCTGTTCTGTTGGCATGGTCTTCGCGGCCTTGCAGTATTTGCGTACAAATTCTCACAGAGGTCCGTTCGCCTGGTTCATGCAGATTCCACTGTACGCTAGGGCACGAAGTCGTGGATTACGCCGTCTGCTTCAGTTTCTTTCGCACGTTGCCTACACGACATATCAAAGGCCGTCGGCTGAGATGTTCCCGCCTTCTCAGCTTCCTGGGTCGACATCTTGAACTTCTTATGGCGGGATGGCGCTAGATGCTCGCGAATTCGATCGTAGGGCTTCTTCAATGGATCGGCGACCATCTCGGTGTTGCAATATTTACACACTAACGTGCGGCTGCCTTCACTGTCTTTCGTTGCGATCTGGAGATCTTCACTCTCTTTACACCAGTCATCCAGTGTCTTTCGTTTTCTTCCTATCTCCAACGCTGAATTTTTCTGTGCGGCGTACTGGGGCCCTATGTTCGGCTTTGCACGCGTTGGTTAGAGTTGGAAAAATGCCACCATTCTGAGAATTATTGCTGATCCTTTCAAAACAAAATTTTTATTGCAGTCGCCTTCTTTCCCTTCTATTGTGCGCGGTGTTATGACCCTTCCCATATCTCCTTGTGTTTGTGAGCGAGTGGGAAGCTCGTCGAACCATTTTCCCACTCGTTAGGGCCACTTTGGGGGATGGATTAGCCAAGGCTTAGCCGAACGCTCGGGGCCTGTCTATTCTGGCTGGCGACGGTCG